ATTAATAATTTAATAATTTCTGTTTGCATGTAATTTATATAATATATATTAATAATAATTTATTGATTAATCAATTAAATGTAATTTACGACTTTTTCTATTGAAATTTGTCTAGCGAGAAAAATGTATTCTCGCTGGAGAACACGTTAGTTCTATAAAGATTAACACGCTTCCACCGTTTTCCTCCTTTTATCGGGCATTTATTTCGTGAAGACGAGTCGTTTGCTCGTTACAACCCCATTACTTCGCCAGATTAAAACAAAGTGTCGCGCGCGAGAAATGGAACTTTCAAGAGCATCAGCGATGCCCCGTGGCTTCCTGCCATGTTCTCACGAGTTTACGAAACATCAACATCCGCATCCCGAGAACGACGAAACGTCGCGATATCCTCGACGGGAAGGAAAAAGTCGGTTTATTTATTTCCGGCATGAGAGAGGCGTGCAGTCGCTCTGCCTTCTTTGAAAACGAAAAACTCCTCTCTTATCCTGCGAGAGCACCCACGTGTAATCGTCGTTATAAATATTTGGTACGTGCCCGGCGCTTTTCGTGACGGCGGAAGTCACGAGGAAAACTCGCGAGTAACCTTGAACGTCGTCCGGACGGAAGTGCACCGTTAATTCTTACCGCAAGTGCATTAACGAAATGACGGTTCTTGCAAATCGCCAACTGCAAATTGCGAGCGCGATGCTCTCTAAGTACATGTTATCATTTATTTACGAGTAATCCTTTACGTTACGTAAAGCCTCGTGAAATTTTCAAGCATTCGCGGAGCAATCATTTTTATTTGCTAATCTACACTGACAATCTGACAAGTGGAATACTTGTCAGGAATATGGTTGTGGTATTATTTAAATTATATAAATCACGTATAATTTAAAAATATGGAATTGTAAAAGGCGAACTTAAGATGAATAAGCGGTGAAATAAAAATTGTCAATGTTACATTTCGTAAAATATTTTGCGGTAACAAAATAATTTAATAACAGAAGGCGAAAGAGCTCCGCAAATTTCAAAATTTACGCTCGCATATATATATGTATATATATGTTTAAAAATTTCTGTGGTGGTCACCTTTATGTATTTCGTGCTAAAAAATGTATGAATATTGTGTGGTATTCTTTAAAATATCCCGATGGAGAAAAAATAATTTATCAAGACGAATTAAGATTTAAAAAAAGAAGAAAGTATAAAGTATGTGTTTGTAATAAATTAATTCATTGTGCATAACATTTTCTTTAATGAAAACAAAAGTAAATTTATTAACATAAAAATTAAAAAGTGCGATAATAGTTTGTTTATTGATATTAAAATTATTATAATTAGGAAATAATTTAAATAATAATGTCAAAAGAGCAGAGGAAACGCGAGTGAAACATTTATTGCGCGCTATAACTGTATTGTATTTTCTGAAACATTATTCAGACATTACTTTATAATTTAAATTTATTTTTGTGTTACAGATCAACATTATGTGCTACAATTCTGCCACTGCGCATCGTTTCGGTGAGTGTGTTATAATTAATTTTTTACATTAAACTATTATTAATTTTTATGACTTTACACACATATGTGTCTAACTATTTCAACAGACCTGCGTAATATATTTGCGATTTTTTTATTTTGATTTTAAAAATGTTCCAAGAACTCTTAGACAAAATATTTTAAAATAAAAATAGCCGCAATTTTCTTTCTCAAAGAATTTATGCAAAATAACTTTTCCGAGTTTACGAGTTGTCGCAAATTACATAGAATCATTGCGTCTTTCACAGATTTATATACGCAAGTTTTACACCAAGTACTAGATTTTAACAAAAAAAGAGTTCTTAATTATAAACATTTTCTGTCTCGCGTCTTCTTCAAGGTTAATCAATCATAAAAAATTCTATTAAAAAATTGAATAAAAATTAAAGATCTCCGATGGAGCATATCTGGAATTATTTTTGAAGAACTCGAATGAAATCAGTCAATCCTCTCTTATTCGTTCTTATCATAATTCGCGAGACGAGTTCTTATCTTAATCCGCTAATTCACTCGTGCGTTCGCTGTCTGACTTTTTCGCGGAGCGAATCCGAAGCCTGCGGTATATATCCGATCGTGAAAACCTAGACGATGCATTCTTCTCGTGGTGAACCATAGAACGTTACCCAGCATAGCTATTGTTCCGTTCATGCCCGTATCCATCCATTTACCGTTCTTGTGTGGTCATTGGGATACGTATGGCCGATATATACCTATATATATATATATATATATATATATATATATATATATAAAGAACCCGGAGGCTACCGAATTACAATAGCGAAAGAACGGGCTTTCTCTAAGCCGTCTTACACAGACATACGGAAGTCGGCGCAGGTGTGTACATTTGCATGCGCTTTATACTACGGTTGCGCCATACTTATAAGAAGCATATACATCAGATCTTATATGAAATCTCGGTCAAAATGTGAGCGAACCAACTGTCGTCTCTTGACGTCTGACTTCGTATAAGTGAGTAGGTATTATAAATTAACTCTGTAAGATATGTACGTGGAACGCATCGCAATACATTCACATAAATTCATATAAATTATTCCTACTTTTCGAAATTACAACTTATTTATTATTTTTATTTTTGTGTGTGTAGTTTATGAATTTTTTTATGACACATATCAGAAAGATTGACAAAGTTATACGGAATTTATAAATTTTTATTGTGTATAACGTTCATGAATTTCTAATGAATATATTATAAACAGGTCAACGAATAATCATAAAATTAGAAAATTAAAATCATAAAATTAGTTATTAATACGTATATCTACATTGATAATTCTATTATAATAATATTATTAGTTTCAGCCAAATATAAATGATATTTAGTTAGATAATTTTAATCATATAAAGATCTAATTATATTGATATTGTATAAAATCCAGAAATAGCAAATAGTTATTTAACCTGATATTCATTTACTACATTATGGAATAATATTGATAAATTACGCGTTTACAATCGCGTACAATTATATGAAAATCTAATACTTTCTCTTTATCAGATTTTTTAGAATAACACATTGTGAAGTGCAAATGCACAACTGAAAAATTTTTATTCCGTGTTTTTAAAAAGTTGCTTCTCTTCTCCATATAAATCAATTCTTTTTTACATATCACCTTTGAATTATCTTTTTGCAATATCTCTGAATAATTAAGTAAACTTTCTGGAATCATTTTTTATACTTTTTGCTCTTCGTTACAAGATTGTTGCGAAGTGATAAACGAAATTAGCCGCGTTTTTCACAAAAATAGACAAACGCGCAGTACCATAATTTCGACGTACGCAATAATATCGAAGACACAAATAAAAATCGACGAAACACGATGAGCGGAAATCCCTTCGATGAACGCGGCCGTTTCGCCCGCAAGACGGACATTTATTTCGATTCGCCACAGCTAGGTGCGCATCCCGCATGAATATTTACATCGAGATGGTGTACATAAATAGTACTCAACGAAAAAATGGGTTAGACCCGGGATGCGCCCACTCCCGCGCGCCATAGATATCCGCCGGAAGCGGTCACAAATTCTCCGTCTCGCGGTACAACCGCATTGCGCATAACTCTCCTGGACTCCCTTCCACGTGCTTTCTCTTTCTTCCTCGCTCTTTCGACTCACTATATATCTTTGAAATGTATTTTTCACTAAATTATTTTTATTTTACCGTGTCCCAAAATTAAAAACTATCAATATACCATAAGAATTATAATTAGACAATGCATTCTTCTCTCTTCTGGTTTATTAAATCCATTAATAAGCGCATAATTTTTCCTCGCTCTTTCAATTCACTATATTCTGAAATGTATTTTCCACTAAATTATTTTTATTTTACCGTGTCCCAAAATTAAAAACTGCCAATATACCATAAGAATTATAATTAGACAATGCATTTTTCTCTCTCCTGGTTTATTAAATGCATTAATATTAGCATGCATGAATAATTTTTCCTCGCTCTTTCAATTCACTATATTCTGAAACGTATTTTTCACTAAATTATTTTTATTTTACCGTGTCCCAAAATTAAAAACTGTCAATATACCATAAGATAATTAGACAATGCAGCATTAATCTCCTCGCTCTCTCTATATTCTGGTACCGTGTCCCAAAATTAAAAACTGTCAATTAAATAATTATGCATGGAATAATTTTTCCTCGCTCTTTCAATTCACTATATTCTGAAATGTATTTTTCACTAAATTATTTTTATTTTACCGTGTCCCAAAATTAAAAACTATCAATATACCATAAGAATTATAATTAGACAATGCATTCTTCTCTCTTCTGGTTTATTAAATCCATTAATAAGCGCATAATTTTTCCTCGCTCTTTCAATTCACTATATTCTGAAATGTATTTTCCACTAAATTATTTTTATTTTACCGTGTCCCAAATTAAAAACTGCCAATATGCCAATTTGCAATTAAATGCATTAATCATGAAATTTTCACTATATTCTGCTATTTTTATTTTACCGTATCCCAAAATTAAAAACTGTCAATATGCCATAAGAATATAATTAGACAATGCATTCTTCTCTCTCCTGGTTTATTAAATGCATTAATAAGCACATGAATAATTTTTCCTCGCTCTTTCAATTCACTATATTCTGAAACGTATTTTTCACTAAATTATTTTTATTTTACCGTGTCCCAAAATTAAAAACTGTCAATACGCCATAAGATAATTAGACGATGCATTCTTCTCTCCTCTCCTGGTTTTTTAAATGCATTAATAAGCGCGTAATGAATAATTGAGTGAGATTGATATAATTAATAATATGATAGCATTTAAATTTGTGTATAAAAATATAATTTATGATTCTGATTAAATATGTTGTTTTTAATATTACGAAATAATCGTTGTACGTTTATTAAATTATACTATACTTCATACATATTATAACAATATTATTAGCATTAATTATAAAGATATCTTGAATGTCTTGCAAGACGATTCTTAAAATTTCTATGACAATTTACGTCAAACTTATTTCATTCTTCCAAATGGTGTTAATGACACGATCCATATTCTTTTATACAGCAGTTTCTCTGAAAATAAATCACAGTCATTCCTGTTACCTTTTTTACTCTTTCCATTAATTTCAGCAAATAAGATTTTAATATATCTACAAAGAATAAATATATAAAAATGTTGAACCGTATTTAAAAATACAAAAAAGCATTAGTTTTGCTCATCTGGATATTTCGTTCTCTGAAAATTCTCAAAGCGACAAATAACGCCTACTTTATAGCGTATTCATGACGAATAGCGTATTACGTATATGCGCGAATGAAATATCACTTTTATCAGGCCAATCGTCGTCGTATCCCATTCACTATTTTGGGATCACGTAGCGCGCCATACGTGCGTGCTCGCTCGCTCGCGCGAACATTTTCGCGTTTACGTTCTTCCTATATTTTACACGTATCCGGAACTCTAATCTCCCTGCACTCTAATCTCTCTAATCTCTCTGCGTATACACATACATTCCCTCTTGTTTTATTTTCAGAGCACAATGATAAATTTCATTTCCAAATATATGATCCCCAGAACATTCCTAATCCCGCATAATTAAAGTTCACGTGTGTGATTATTTTTTATCCGGCTAATTAACTAATTCGAAAAAATTTGACTTAAAAGAATAGAAAATTCAATTTGCAGAATATTATAAAAATAAATGCATATAAAATATGAAATATAGATCATAATAAAACAAAATATTGATGGAATGTATATAATTTTTTTTTCGTAAATTTTCTTATATTTACCTTACTTCTAGTATGATTACGTAACGACTCCTCAGACTTTTTCAATTCGTCCATCACGTACTTGATATCCTCGACTTCCATTTGCGAATCGCGATTATCGCCATAAGTATTCACGCAGATCGTTCCCGTATGTTCGCTGTTGTTAGTCATCAAACTGATCTAGACGAAAATGTGCGGTACGCGTTCCGCAATAAAGGAGATGAGATTTTGCGTCGTGAAATTCCACTCGAATAAATACTTGACAAGCGAATGTGTAACTCTTACTTTAGATTCATTCGAGTAACAACGTTTTCGATCGAGTCGAAAAAATTTCTTGAGACGATGGCAGCAAACCGCGAATGGAAAAATCAGGAAGAACATCGTGTTTAGGAAAAATTCCACTTTTCTGAAAAACCCGCTCGTTGACTCGCTCGCTGTGCATAAATATATCTGCCTATTGTGTTCTCACCTGCTGCATATCCTGACGGTTCTCTTGCGTGTATCCGGATGCACCGGTGCACCGTACTCATCCCTTATCACGCGCTTATATTTTAATTCTCGTTCGAAATATTCCGACATTACTCTGGTCTCCAGCAACGAATCTAAACCCCAACGGCCCATCGCCGGTATATACAGACCGATAAACCCTTTCAATAAACCTAGAAAAGAAACAAATGCTTCAAAATACATAACATATCGTAAAAAATATAAAAATCAATTAATTAAGGGTGCGTTAGAACTATTTTTAAATCATTCTAAATTATAAAATAAATTATATTTATATAATATATTTATAAATTATATAATAATATAAAATTACACATTATAGAACGATATATTTTAATTATAGAACGATATATTATAATAGGCGAATTTAGAAGCTATTAATTAAAATAATTACACCAACCTATAAGAAGCAAGAGCAGTATTAACGAGACGATGAAGAATATAACGTTCAAGATTACGTCTGAGATAATTTGGCGATGATGTGGGACGGGACCGCGAAATCCAGCGGCGTGATAAAGTTCGAGCGACATCGGTTGACAGCTGGTGCCACGTGCGTCGCCCACGCACACGCATAAGCAATGCAGCGCGCAGAAGCAACGATCCATTTTTCGTACCTTTATTTGCCTGGTGGCCACCGGTTCCCCGAGACGGTTTAGCAATTGCACTGGAAACACGTGATCGTATCTACAACTCGTGCACGTATACACGATCTTTTGCGATATTTCGGATGCTGCGACAACCAATACTCGACATTACAATATATAATTTACGCGACGATAAATCAGTTTCTTCTACTTCTCGTTGGTTTGTGGAGAAAACAATCGATTTATGTTTAAAAAAAATAATTTGAGAGATTGTTGAATTATGGATAGAGAAGGATTAATTAGATATTATTTAAATATGAATTTAATTTTTTAAAAACAGTCATAATTTATCTATTTTTTTTAGTTATCGTGAGACATTAAATTGTTTTGTACCAGAGCAGTAAAACTCGTTTGTGGGCAGCTCGCCGTAAAGATTCAAGCTCACTGCTTGATTCCGTCGAGGTTGAATTAGTCTTTTAGGGAACGTAGCGTTTACCCAGGACTCTGGAAGGCTATCGGGACAGTCCGCGATCTTTGACTGATAAGACGTCGGAATTAATCCTGTATTGGTGATCACGATCGTTATTACAGTATGATCGAGTGCTGTGCTGTTCACGTTCACTTGACTGATGCGACCCATAGATCTAAAATTTTTCAGATGTTAAGAAATAATTATACACATAATATAACGTTCAAATTAAAATATCTCTCTTGTCAATTTATTCTCAAATTTTATTATTTGCATTCAATAATTTAGTTTAATTAAAATGTTATAATAATTTGATATCTTTGTAAATACTTTTATACGAACGTGTTTGCACGTTCTATATTAAAAATAATTATTTACATTGAATATTATATGTTGCCAGAGCATTACTACCTCGAAATTATGTTTTCTATTTATTATATATGAAACGTAAAATAAATTTGTTTTTTAAAGAAGATATTTATACAAAGTATATCTAAATAAGTGCGAAAAATTCTAGATGATTTAAAATTAAACTCATATCCCTTCCTGAAGAGTTACACTTTTCTAAAGTAGGTAACAATTGTTTTTATTTTATTTTTCAAGTTTTAGATAAATTTTAAAAATAAAACTTGGTGGATATTTTCCGGGATTTTTTTAATTGTCTAAGATTTGAAAAAAATATAGACTTAATTTTCGACAAAAAAAATCATCTAAAATTCTTCGCAATTCTTTATTTAGATGCACCTTGTACAACAAATGGCTTTAAATCGGAGAATACCGAGAAAATTAGCGCACAGAGTGCAAAGCTAGGGTTGATAATCTCTCCTTTAGCCAAGGGTAGATAGTATCGTTCCACTCGAGACTCACCCTCCTAACGCGGCATTGTAACCCGGCCCGACCTCGACGTCGATCGCAGACACGTGCGGCGAATGATGCTCCAGAGCGAGAAACTCGCGGCTTCCGCTTCCGCTCGCGCTGTACTTGATGGGCTCGCTCGGCACGGATGCGAAATTGCTCAAGAAGTAGCAACCAGGTCGACCGGCGGCGCGGGCTTCCTGTCAACACGTGACACTAGATCGAACAGCGGTCTCGGACCTTCGACAGTCGGCGAGGCGGAAATGTTCGCGAGAATGCGAGGTGGTTTGTAATACGCATCTGTAACCCGTCGTCCATGTTCGCCGACAAACCTCGAGATGACGTATTATACTTCGCGCGGATGCAAATAGTTCGAAATCTAATCGATCGCTCCGCAGTTAGGTATCTCCCTTGATAGGATCTCTTTTTTATCTTATAATATTTGGACATGCGGTTTTTCGCGAACTTTTGCCAAAATCATCATATTCCGTGAAAGTAAATAAATTGAAATAAATTCGATAAAAGGCTGTTAAGAGTAATAAATATAAAAATTCAAATTATGTTAGAAAGAAAGTCATATATAAAAATAATATTCTTTAATATAATGTCTACTAATAAATTACAATAAAAGGTGACAAAGAAAAGGATTAAACATAAGTACTCTTTAAATACAAATATAAATAAATTGATTATATTAAAAGTGAATTAATAAAATTAAGAGGAATGAAAGAAGAGGTTTTCTAAAATTATATTTGACGAATGTAAAATATCGTAAAAATCTTGGGACGAATCGGCCTTTCCATGACAAATTTTATAACGTCGTTTCGCGATCCCGCGATTTGACAGATTCCGCAAGAGAAACGCGCAAGCCTGCATCGCGCAATAATTCAAAACGACACAACGACGACGAGAGGACAGAGGGTACGCGTCGAACCATCGGCGCGTACATTTGTAAACGCGAGACCTATTTCGTTCCAAAAACGAGACGCGGTTCGAATTTCTCATCTCGCATATCACACAGAGAACGACGAGCCGACGCGACGTATACAAAAATCCGCCCTGTCCGTCGCCGGACGACCGATTTGTATGCGACTGTCCGTTTCCCGTCGCCGGGACAAATCTCCCCTCGTAACGTTTCACGTGGCAGAGATATAAGTATTAAATTCGTGCGCGATAAATCATGTTACACAGCGAGAGCGGGCGCACTTAAAACGTCTCGGGGTCCAGGGAGGAGATAGCCCGAGGACAGGAAGGCTATTTCCAGAGTGTTGTTTCATTTGTTGCACCTGTCAAACGTACCGCGTCGTGCCTACGGTAGGCCAGGGGCTGATTTTTCAAACAGGTTCCTCGGACATGTCCGCACCGGTCCGGTTGCTTCGCGAATGCAGCGAATCCCACGCCCGCTTTGTCGCACTCGTTTCCGTTCTCGTTGATGCTGCTCGCCGGGACCACCAGATACTCGTTTGACTCGCCTACGAATAGATTCTCTATTAGTTTCATTCAAACGAGTTATGTTAAATTATTCACGGAATATCTTCTCCTTCAAACTTTTCTTATATCCCCTATGGAATTTTGTCAAGTGACGCAACAGTTGAAGCACGAAATCTTATTTGTTATAATACGTATATTGTAATTTATAGATAATTTCATATCTTTTAATAAGCAGTTGATTAACTACCCTTTAAGATTTTTCGGAATTTTTGGTAAAAAAAGAACTCTTTTTCAATACTATTTTAAATACTATTTAAATAGTATTTTTAATACTATTTTTTAATACTATTTTAAATATTATTGTATGTGTGTATATATATATAGCTATATATTTGTCGATATATCTGTTATAATACGTATATTGTAATTTATATAATTTCATATCTTTTAATAAGCAGTTGATTAACTACCCTTAAAGATTTTTCGGAATTTTTGGTAAGAAAAGAACTCTTTTTCAATACTATTTAAATACTATTTTTAATACTATTTTAAATATTTTTAAATATTATTGTATATATGTATATTTGTCGATATATCTCGAATCTTGAGACAAAAGAATCTTGGAGCGCTATTTTAAATGACGAATAGGAATCGTTAATTGCGCTCGCTTTATATCAGATGATTAATTATCGATTTCGTGCTACAAGTTTCGTTGTAGATTATGAAGTCGCGTCTCGCTAATCGACATTTCGAGGGGAAAAATATGAAAATGTTGGATACCTTCGACGGGATATCCGGAACCTTTTGATGTCACCGACGACGGTACTAAAAGACGATCACGAGCGACATCCAAATTAGGGGCCTTCTCCCTCGGCATTTTCACTTTCCTGTAGGCGAAAGCGATCGTATCTTGATTGCCTCTGTGGTGCCTGTTGAACGTGCCCAATCTGATGACATAAACGACCTGTCTAGCGTGAAGTTTATCAGGCCTTCGAATATATGTATACTCGAGTGCACATTCAATCGCGAGACACACACATACACATACTAACACATTTTCTTTTCTTCTCTCTCTCTCTTTTACCTGACTACGGAGTCTCTGGTGAGATCCTCCCAATAAATCGATCCATTCCCCGAAGTGCGTTTTTCGTAAACCTGTAGGTAGACTGTGTGCTCGACGATAGGATCTTCCAGTTGATATACAGAGTACCTGAAAAAAATGTTTCCCCTGAGCGCGTTTATTTTCTACAAATCTTTGTAACAAATTTATCAAATTCGTAATGATACATTTGCGATTACTAAATTACTAAATTGAAGTTTTGACGGAGAGCTTTAGTTTGGATGTGCGCGCAGACACTTTTGACACATGTTGAACATTATGAGGCGAGATCTTATATATGTATCGATTAGCTGTTAATCAATTTGTGGCGCGACGTCAACTGCAGAGACTGCGTTGAAAGCGCGAAACAAAGCACTCATCTTTGCTTTTCAAATTGAAAATAAATGATCGAGGGCTGTCATTTTAATGCTTTTAATAAACCATCGGCCGCGGCCACTATTGTATGCATGATTGTCACATAATTCTTTTAATAAACTTTACACACTGACAGGTAAAACAACGCACTCTTTAAAACAAATGTGAGGCAAAAGTTTCCTGTGTGTGTTATTTCAATAAATAAATAACATTATTTTCAGAGACAGAGTGGATTTTCACACCAAATAATACCATTATTCACATTTATATTTTACATTCACAATTTATGCGTGTATTCTTTTCAAATTATTATTATTATTATGTGTGTAATTTCAACTTTTCAATCTTCTCGAATATCCTTTTAAAAAAATCCATCATATATATTTCTCTTTTTTATGATAATATATATTAATTACAAATTCTCTCTCTCTCTAAAACAAAATTTGATATTAATATAAGCGTCGGAGAACGCGGATTCCTGTTTTTCGCTCGCTGTTTTCTCGCGAAACGAGAAAACATAAACGCGGTACTCGACATGAATCACGATCCGAGATCCCCTTAAATCCCCATAGGCGACCTACCATAAATCACTGAAGCGCAAACAATGCGCGGACTCGAGATATTTGGCCGCATCGATATTCGGAGGGTGTCTGCGATCCGCGCAATCTTGACCGCCCCGGATTTGCGCTCGTCCGGGATCGACTTCCGATCCATCGAGCGTCCGGCTTTCGTCCCTGCTCGCGGGCTTCTGAAAACCCTCGGCGTTTCGTTTCCCGATGACGTAGCGTCCCGATAATCCCGCCGCGACGTCATCCCCGGCGTCATACTCCGGCTCGAGAGACGCCATTAATAAGTGTCTCCCGAAGCGACCCGGTTGGTTCCCCGAGATATCTTTGATCCGCTGACCGCCCTTCTTCCTCTTCTTCTTCCGCCACTTTGTCTTCTTCTTGACCGAGCTCGGAAGCTCCCTTCTAAATGCGCGATTACCTTCCCGGAAACCGACGTCTGGTTTCTTGTTCGGTGCGCTACGGACGCAACGTGAGAGATTACGAGATCCATCATGTAGAAATAATAAGACCAATTACGTGGAACATTTTTAAAAGACGTAGAAATCAACCTCTATGATTGAATGTCTCTTTTTAGACAAAATTTGCTTTTTCAAGAATTCTCGAGAAAATTCATCAATTATAATATATAATATTTTAGATATTATGCAGAGTTGTATCTAGATAAGTGCGAACAATTTCACTTTTCTAAAGAGGGAGGTAAAAATTAAGTTCCTATTTTTTTTTTACATATTAATAAATATATTTCTTATTAGAAAAAAATATCCACCAAGTTTCATTTTTTTAATTCGTCTGAAATTTGAGAAAAAAAAATCTCAGGGTGGGATATAAGAATATATAAGAAACCTCCCTTAATTTTTGAACAAAAGAATCATCTCTTAAAATATTTCGCATTTACTTAGATACACTCGGTATATTACAATGTATAATATTTTATATAATATCATAATTTACCATATTAAATACTTCAAATGTTTATTATTTTTATTAAACATTTAAGTACTATATATTTTTGAAAATATAATTAAACACACTTCTTCACGCTATAAAAAACTTTGTCGAGGAATCAATGTCATTATTATATCGTGACAGACCTTGTGGATTCGTCCGCGACCTCCTGATCGATTTTCAAAGCGTGCGCATCATCCCTCGTGCTGGACGAAACCGATGAATATCGAATCGCCCTCGCTTTTTCCGCGGAATCTGCTCTTTTCAGCGAGCTTGAATCATCGGTCGAAAGTTTGGTCGGAGGGCCATTTGCGATCTTAACCGAGTAACTCGGCCTGCCGCCGAGATTCGGGTCACCAGAGCGGTTAATCTCGGCGCGAAATACCACTTTTTCCGGCGATCCTGCAATTTCAAGGAGTTTCTTATCGACCGGTCGCCGCGTGGCCGTCGCCCGATGTTCCCCGATCCAATCACCCGGAGAACCGCCAGAACTGTTAAGTAATTTCGTCCTCGTGTCGCGCCGATCTGACATCCCGGCGATCATATATAAAGCATTCTCTAATAATCATCATTTTTTAATAAAGTGTTATTATTATCTAAATTATTGTCTAATTATATATATATTGCTTAAGATTATTTATTAATTAATCATTATTAATAATATAATAATTATTTGTATATATAATTATTAAATTATTTATCTAATAATTATGTAATATATTATGAATTAATTATTAATTATTAATTAATTAATAATATATTACATTTATAT